CTTTTATAAGCATTATTTGTACAAAAATTGAGCATTGTGATCATTGTTTTTGTTTGTTTGATTTTTTTTGATACTGTCTCTGTGTAGCCCTTGAACTCATGATTCTCCTGCCTCAGCTTCCTGAGGGCTGGGATTATAAGGGTGTGCCACCATGCCTGGAATGATACCCATTAGTTCTGAAAATCTTGGTTAAATACTTGGCTTTTGGTAGGTATATTTGAAAGGCTTCTTTTATGTTAGGCTTATCTAGACACTTATTTTAAGATGACTATAGCTCAAAGCTCATAAAGATATAGAAATCTGTATGGAAGACGTGCATTATAAGTTAGGCTGATAACCTCATGATGCTTATCTATCAAATACGCAGAATTTTTTGTTGCTATCTACCAGTAAAGTGTCCACTTTTAAAATTTTGTTTAGTTGATTCTTAACTAGTAGTCTTTATTTGTCCCTCCAGATGCATTCCCTATCCTTGTTCACTCTGCTCTGTGCCCCAGGAGGCTGATTTCTAAGTACTGCATCACTGATCCACCTTATTCTCTGACTTCTGATTGGTTTAAAGCAATAGAAGGTACTGGTACTAGCAGGACAGAAAAGTAGAAGTATTTCTTTTAACAGCTTCCTCGCTGGACTGCAGATTGTCAGTAACTGCTTTATCATTGTGTGTCTCTCTTGTAAGGTGACAGTTCTCTTGGTATAGTAACAATTCTCTTTCCTAGTTGGCCTAGAGTAGTAATAGCTCCCTGATGCGGCTAGCCCAGGAAACACTGCACAGTCTCTTCTTAGTTTATCTTAATCTTGCTTACACAATTGTAAATAGTCCCTTCATTTAAATATCATCTTCTTTTATATATTATTCTTTTCTTGCTAGAACCTTGAAGACCATAAGATAAGAGTGGTATTTTAATATTTGTAAGTGAATAAGATAACAAAGTGATTGAAACTCTTCATTTAGAATATTTTAAAGCAAATTAGATAATTGTTTCCAAGTTCAATGATAAGATGTGTCTGTGTGCAGCCAGGAGTGCAGGAGAATTGAACACAGGGCCTCCTGCATGATAAACATGGGCTTTACCACTGAACTGTACTCCCACTCCAACATGAAATTATTATAGATGACATATTTACATTGTTTTTATCACAACAATAAAAAGCATATAATAAAGAAAACCTTTCCAAACATCCACTTTTAATAAGCAGCCAGCATTAGTTCATGTATTATCCTTAAGTAAAATTTAATATCAGTCAATTCAGTTTCTTGTTAATGTGTGATTTAACAATTTTAAGTAGAATTCTAAAATTTCCAATGTGCTTCAATGAAAAACTAGAAAGAATAACTAAAATTCAATGAGTCAGCCATAATTATTGCTTAACTTTTACTTATGGTTGGCAATATGCTATTTTCAAACTATTTCAAAATTGATTTCATGAAATAATTTTCCTTCTATGCAGAAAAGAGGTTGAGTGTTAGAAGGGAAGAGTTATTTTAGTATATTTATATGGTCATTGATTATTCAGTAACCTATTTGGAGTGGAGGTGAAGTGATATTTATTTTTTATCTGTGTGTGTGTGTGTGTGTGTGTGTGTGTGTGTGTGTGTGTGTGGTACCAGGGTTTGCACTCAGGGTTTCATGCTTGTGAGGCAGGCGCTTGAACCGTAATTCCAGCCCTTATTTTGTTTTTTTGTCTTACTGCATTTTAGCCTCTGATGACTCAAAATCAAACAGTAGCAAATGTTTAATCAGGATTCTTTTACTGTGAACAAAATAGATGGCTGGAAGTTTTAAACTTTAATTATTTGTGTAAATTAAAAATGAAAAATAGCTTGAAGTGTTTGGAAGGCCAAATGCTTCTTTTATACACACACACATACACACACACACCCACACACATACACACACACACACCCTACCCCACCCCCACAGTTTCCTTATCTGATGACATGGCTGGTAAGGAAACAAAAGTCCCCAACTTCTTGGAGCTTTCATTCTTGTGGAGAGATGGACAGTTACCAAATAAATATATGATTAGATTATGTAATGTAATGCTACATAACATGAAGACAAAGATGTTACTAAACATCATGATCAGGGAAGTCCCCTCAGATTTGGTGGCACTTGAGACTTGAATGAAATGATAGGCCTAATCCTATGACTGTCTTGGAGACGAGTGGCTTATAGAACATAAATGAAGTGCAGAGAAGCTGGGAAGCAGATAATGTTGTTATGACCAATAATACAAAAGAAACTTTGGCTGGCTGGAACACGAAGAGCAAAGGTTAGAAAGGCAGAAAATGAGGTATGGAGGAGGAGATGAAGGCCATTATTACTCTTATAGGTCAGAAGAACTTTAGACTGCATTCTAAGTATAACTGGAAGATTTGGGAGAAGACAGAGCAAAGTAATAACATGAACTGAGTAGATTTTTAGAAATTCTATGTGAGTTTCTGTGTTAGTAGGAAGATTGCCTCCATGAGAGTAGAAGCAGAGAGACGTCATGAATTGACTACAGTAGCCTGAGTGAGAGTTTGAACTCAAGTGTACACAAATATGCACTTCTACATGTCCTATGTATATGTACATACATATTTGTATGTGATCCTTTTGGGTTAAAAATATGTTTGGTTCAGAAACTTCTTTTTTACATTTATCAATGTAATAAGAACATCTTTTACAATGAGTATATGCACATATTCCTGATTCTTTTTAAAGAATGAATGTAGTTCATGGTATATTAGAGTAATCTGTCCCATATCATAGGGTATTTGTTTCCAATTTTTTTAGTAAAATTTAATGCTATATGCTTTTTATTGCTCATAGTTGTAGAGGTATGCCTATAAGGTAATCATTGGAACATAGTTGGTCAAAGGATATGTTCATATTAAAGCATAAAGATAATTACCAAATCAACTTCCATAAAGACTGCCAATTTATGCACCCTATAATGTTGTATGAGAATTTCTTTCCTCATACCCTTTCCATCTCTGAGTAATAGAGTCTTTAAAATCACTACATGGTAATAAGAAACAGCATATTTAATTGTTTTTAAAATTATCGACAAATATCAGAGCTTACAAATTTTTATTTCTGGTTAGTAATAAAGGACATTTGCCCTTTTGTCTGTGTTCTAAGAAATATTTTAGTTTGTTTGGTTTTTGGTGGGACCTGAACTCAGGACTTCGTGAGAAAGTACTATTTTGAACAGTAGTCTATAACTTCATCTTGTCTACTTATAAGACTATGAAGTTGAGTTGCTTCTGACTTGTTAGGGAATTCTTTAGCCATGTGACCTACTGCTTCCTTTAACTCTCCTAATCCTCAATGCTTTATATACTTCCTGCGTCATTAGCCCCAATATTGTACATACCTAGTGATTTCTGAGATATGATAAATCTGAATGTAATATTGTTCATAAACATTCTCCTTTATTAGTGTTGATTTAAAAAGTAATTAAAATTACAGGCCTAGTTAGATCATCCAGTAAGAACAACATACTAAAATGAACCCAAATTCATCTGCAGTATCTGTTACTGCCAGTCAGCTGTTTTCCTTGGGCCTACAACTCCTTTGCCAACCCCATTTAGCCATCATGTAATTGTATGCTATTGTGCACTAAAGGATCACAGCCTGAAACAGCATGCTAGACTAACCCAAATCTTCAGTATTACTGGAAAACCAGTTTAAAGTTCTTATCCTACTTAAAGCATAATCAGTTAAAGTGTTAGTATCTTTTAACAGAAAAACTGTAATAGTGTGACAGTTTGGGAGAACCTATTCATGGGACTAGATGAATGAGATTAAGAGTGTTATTAGATAATTTGCATTTAGAGTTATAAACTGCTGTGGACATAGTCCTGGAAAGTCAAGACTTTGATTTTATTTTATGCCATAAAGTCATGTGTCTCAGTGGATTTTTTTTTTTGCCAATTTTTATGAAAGCAGGGAACTGTAAGATCAACATGTCAACATATAATTCATACAGATTTTTTTTTCTGTGAGTCTGGTATTTGAATTCAAGGCCTTATGCTAGCTAGGTTGGTGCTCTACCACTTGAACCTCTCCACCATTACTAACTCATATAAATTGTTACAAAGTATGTTGAGTGCTTATTTTGAATATTGACTTGATTTTGCCATTGTGGAAACGACATTTATAGAACCTTTAGAAGTTCTGGCATAAAAGGTAGAAAAGCAGATAAAGTCCCTGAAGCTTTTTATAATTAACCTTCATATAATAGATGCAAACTTAGAACTTAGACTAGCCTTCCAGTGTAGTTGGTTTTAGTCAACTATTTTAAATTTATTAAGGGAATTCATGGATAATTAAACAACCTATTTCAGATATTGTTTTTCATTATTTTAAGCATTAGATTAGTATCTCAGTGTGATAATAAAAAATATCATAAAATAAGTAGACATTTGTGGTGAGGTTAAAGAGGAAATCTAGAGTTCTAGATTCTTTTTGCAGTTTAGTTAGGTTTCCAGATTTCAACCTAAAGTTATGTGTTGTAATGCTGCATTTGTTTATAATTTCACTGAAGTGTTAATATATCATAAATTTTCTTTTATATTATTGTACATTTTCTCATGTCAATATATTTCATATTGTGTACATATGAACTTTTTTCCATTAAAGAATTAGTGCTTTAAGGCACTAATGTGCTAGAGTGCCTGTCTAGCAAGCAAAAGACCCTGAGTTCAAACTCCAGCACTACCAAAAATAAAAAGAAACAAATTAGTGCTTTAATTCTTCATTTTAATGCTTTAGTCTTGTATTTTCTTTTAAGTGTAGAGGAGGGTCTGTCACTTAGACTGATTTTATGACATGAAAAAATTAAAATTATGCAGGGAAAATAAACTCTGGAACATAACAAAGTAAGGTTTAACTAAACACTTTTATGTAGTTAGCAAATAGGATTCTTCTTAAAATGGTGATGATGGGATGGGTTGTATTGCCTGTCCAGAAGATTTAACCTTGTGAATTCACTTATTCTTCTCCAAGGCACTTGAGAGAAAAGACAACGATAGCAGTTACATCTAAAGGCTATTATGGATTGGAGGACGAGAAGGGAACTGCGTGTACTTCCACAAGACGTCGGTCAACACCTCGAAGCTTGGCAGGCTTGACAAGTGGAGTTTTTGAGTCTGTAATGGTTCAAGTTTTGAGACAGGAAGAACAGCTGAGAGCAAAAGAAGAGAAAAGGTAAATGTTAAAAAATTAAGTGTCATGATGTTCAGTTTCCAGGAATTACTTTTCAAAGAATAGCTACATTAACTTTTATGTGCCCATATCAAATTCTGGGCCCATTTTACCAGTGTTCCAAAATGCATTATCACTAAAATTTCAATTGATAATGAAATACCAAAATGATATTTACTTAAAAATAGTGTTTAAAATTTTAAAACAAATTATGTTGAAACTATACAAAAATAGTCTTTATAAAAGATTTGGGGATGCTTTCTACATTTCTAGAAATAGTCTCAAGGCAATTTTAAATTAGAGGAAGTTTACAAAATTCATAGTTTTAGAATAGAGTCATAGACTTTTTTTTTAATTTTTATTTTATTCATATGTGCATACAATGTCTGGGTCATTTCTCCCCCCTTCCCCCACCCATCTCTTACCCACCCCCCTCCCCCTCCCTCTCCTCCCCTACTCCCCCATTACCTGACAGAAACTATTTTGCCCTTATCTCTAATTTTGTTGAAGAGAGAGTATAAGCAATAATAGGAAGGAACAAGGGTTTTTGCTAGTTGAGATAGGGATAGCTATACAGGGAGTTGATTCTCATTGATTTCCTGTGCATGTGTGTTACCTTCTAAGTTAATTCTTCTTGAACTAACCTGTTCTCTAGTTCCTGGTCCCCGTCTCCTATTGGCCTCAGTTGCTTTAAAGTATCTGCTTCAGTTTCTCTGCGTTGAGGCCAACAACTGCTATTTATCCTTTTAGGTGTCTTACCTATCCTCATACCTCCCTTGTGTGCTCTCGCTTTATCATGTGATCAAAGTCCAGTCCCCTTTTGTGTTTGCCCTTGATCTAATATCCACATATGAGGGAGAACATAGGATTTGTGGTCTTTTGGGCCAGGCTAATCTCACTCAGAATGATGTTCTCCAATTCCATCCATTTACCAGCGAATGATAACATTTCCTTCTTCTTCATGGCTCCATAAAATTCCATTGTGTATAGATACCACATTTTCTTAATCCATTCGTCAGTGGTGGGGCATCTTGGCTGTTTCCATAACTTCGCTATTGTGAATAGTGCCACAATAAACATGGGTGTGCAGGTGCCTCTGGAGTAACCTTTGTCAGTCTTTTGGGCATATCCCCAAGAGTGGTATTGCTGGATCATATGGTAGATCAATGTTTAGCTTTTTAAGTAGCCTCCAAATTTATTCCAGAGTGGTTGTACTAGTTTACATTCCCACCAGCAGTGTAAGAGGGTTCCTTTTTCCCCACATCCTCACCAACACCTGATGTTAGTGGTGTTGCTAATGATGGCTGTTCTAACAGGGTGAGGTGGAATCTTAGTGTGGTTTTAATTTGCATTTCCTTTGTTGCTAAAGATGGTGAGCATTCTTTCATGTATTTTTTGGCCATTCGAATTTCTTCTTTTGAGAAAGTTCTGTTTAGTTCACTTGCCCATTTCTTTATTGGTTCATTAGTTTTGGGAGAATTTAGTTTTTTAAGTTCCCTATGTATTCTGGTTATCATTGGTTTTCTGATGTGTAGCTGGCAAATATTTTCTCCCACTCTGTGGATGATCTCTTCAGTTTAGAGACCATTTCTTTTCTTGAGCAGAAGCTTTTTAGTTTATGAAGTCCCATTTATCTATGCTATCTCTTAGTTGCTGTACTGCTGGGGTTCCATTGAGAAAGTTCTTACCTATAACTATTAATTCCAGAGTATTTCCTACTCTTTCCTGTACCAACTTTAGAGTTTGGGGTCTGATATTAAGATCCTTGGTCCATTTTGAGTTAATCTTCGTATAGGGTGATATACATGGATCTAGTTTCAGTTTTTTGCAGACTGCTAACCAGTTTTTCCAGCAGTTTTTGTTAAAAAGGCTGTCTTTTCTCCATCGTATATTTTTAGCACCTTTGTCAAAGACAACTTGGTTGTAGTTGTGTGGCTTCAGATCTGGGTTCTCTATTCTGTTCCACTGGTATTCATGTCTGTTTTTGTGCCAGTATCATGCTATTTTTATTGTTATTGCTTTGTAATATAGTTTGAAATCAGGTATCGTGATACCTCCAGCATTGTTCTTTTGACTTAGTATTGCCTTGGCTATTTGTGGCCTCTTGTGTTTCCATATAAATTTAACGGTGGATTTTTCAATCTCTTTAATGAATGTCATTGGAATTTTGATGGGAATTGCATTAAACATGTAGATTACTTTTGGGAGTAATCTATGTTGATTCTACCAATCCATGAGCATGGGAGATCTCTCCACTTTCTATAGTCTTTTCTCAATCTCTTTCTTCAGAATATAGTTTTCCTTGTAGAGGTCGTTCACATTTTTTCTTAGGTTTACACCTAGATATTTTGATTTTTTTTGAGACCAAAAAAAATGGCCTCAAATCCCATTGTAAATGGGATTGTTTTCATATATTCTTTTTCAGTTTGTTCATTATTAGTGTATGGAAATGCTAATGATTTTTCTATGTTGATTTTATATCCTGCTACTTTGCTGTAGCTATTGATGGTGTCTACGAGCTTCTGAGTAGAGTTTTTTGGGTCTTTAAGGTATAGGATCATGTCTTCTGCAGATAGGGATATTTTGACAGTTTGTTTACCTATTTGTATTCCTTTTATTCCTTCTTGCCTAATTGCTCTGGCTAGGAATTCCAGTACTATGTTGAATAGGAGTCGAGATAGTGGGCATCCTTGTCTAGTTCCTGATTTTAGAGGGAATGGTTTCAGTTTTTTCTCCATTAAGTATATTGCTGGCTGTAGGTTTGTCATATATAGCTTTTATAATGTTGAGGTACTTTCCTTCTATTCCTAGTTTTCTTAGTGCTTTTATCATGAAATGGTGTTGGATCTTATCAAAGGCTTTTTCTGCATGTATTGGGATGATCAAGTGGTTTTTGTCTTTGCTTCTGTTAATGTGGTTTATTACATTTATTAATTTTCGTATTATGAACCACCCCTGCATTCCTGTGATGAAGCGTAGTTGGTCGTGGTGAATAATCTTTTTGATGTGTTGTTAAATTCAGTTCGCCATTATTTTGTTGAGGATTTTTGCATCAGTGTTCTTTAATGAGATTGGCCTATAGTTCTCCTTTCTGGAGGTGTTTTTGCCTGGTTTTGGGATAAGTGTAATACTGGCTTCATGAAATGTGTTAGGCAGTTTTCCTTCCCTTTCTATTTCATGGAACAGTTTAAGGAGGGTTGGTATCAGTGCTTTGAAGGTCTGATAGAATTCTGCAGGGAATCCATCAGGTCCTGGACTTTTCTTTTGGGGAGACTCTTGATTGCTGCTTCAATTTCATTTTGTGTTATAGATCTATTCATTTGATTAATATCCTCTTGGTTCAGTTTTGGATGATCATATGTGTCTAGATATCTGTCCATTTCTTTAAGATTTTTTAATTTATTTGAATATAGGTTCTCGAAATAGTCTCTGATGATTTCCTGGACTTCCATGGTGTTTGTTCTGATCTCCCCTTTTGCATTCCTGATTCTGCTAATTTGGGTTTTTTTCTCTCCTCATTTTAGTCAGGTTTGCCAGGGGTCTATCAATCTTGTTTATTTTTTCAAAGAACCAACTTTTTCTTTCATTAATTCTTTGTATGGTTTTTTTTTATTTCTATTTCATTGATTTCAGCTCTTATTTTTATTATATCTCTCCTTCTATTTGTTTTGGAATTTGCTTGTTCTTGCTTTTCGAGGAGTTTGAGATGTATCATTAGGTCATTGATTTGGGATCTTTCAGTCATTTTAATATATGCACTCATGGCTGTAAACTTCCCTCTCAGGACTGCATTTGCTCTGTCCTGTAGGTTCCAGTAGGTTGTGTTTTCATTTTCATTGACTTCCAGGAACTTTTTAATTTCCTTTTTAATTTTATCAGTGACCCATTGTTCATTAAGCAATGAGTTATTCAGTTTCCAGCTGTTTGCATGGTTTTTGTCTTTACTTTGAGTTGAGTTATAGTTTTATTGAATCTTTTTTGTCTTTACTTTTGTTGAGTTACAGTTTTATTGCATTGTGATCAGATAGAATGCATGGTATAATTTCTATTTTCTTATATTTGCTGAGGCTTGCTTTGTGCCCTAGGATATGATCTATTTTGGAGAAGGTTCCATGGGCTGCTGATAAGAATGTATATTGTGTAGAAGTTGGATGACATGTTTTGTAGACATCAACTAGGTCCATTTGATCTATTGTATATTTTAGATCTAGGATTTCTTCATTGATTTTTTGTTTGGATGACCTAGCTATTGATGATAATGGGGTGTTAAAGTCTCCCACAATTACTGTGTTGGAGTTAATATATATGCTTTTAGGTCCTTCAGGGTATGTTTGATGAAATTGGGTGCATTGACATTGGGTGCATATAGGTTGGTAATTGTTATTTCCTTTTTGTCTATTTCCCCTTTTATTAGTATGGAATGTCCTTCTTTATCTCATTTGATCAATGTAGGTTTGAAGTCTACTTTGTCAGAGATAAGTATTGCTACTCCTGCCTGTTTTTGGGGACCATTGGCTTGGTAAATCTTCTTCCAGCCTTTCATCCCAAGCCTATGCTTATTTCTGTCAGTGAGATGGGTCTCCTGTAAGCAACAAATTGTTGGATTGTCCTTTTTACTCCAGTTCATCAGTCTGTGCCTTTTGATAGGGGAATTAAGTCCATTAACATTAAGTGTTAGTACTGATAGGTATGTGGTGATTCCTGTCATTTAGTTGTCTTAGTTGTTTGAAGGTTTGATTGTGTGTACCTAAGTAGAGTAGGTTACTCTACTTTCTTGCTTTTCTTTTCCTGTAGTTTGGTGCTGCCTGCCCTTTCATGGTTATGTTGGGTTTCACTTTCTGTGTGCAGAATCCCTTGATGAATCTTTTGTAGTGGTGGCTTTGTGGTCACATATTGTTTTAGTTTCTGCTTATCATGGAAGACTTTTATTGCTCCA